AATTGAGCATGGAAACTTTTGAGAAGGAGAGGGGGGTCGATGACCAGAAGTTTGAAATTTAGTTGTTGTTTTATTTCGTTTTTAAATGTTTTTTGAGTTTTACTATCGCGTACTAAATTCAAAAACATAATAATTCATATTAGAAAAAAGTCTTCCTTGATTGAGTGCGTCAGCTAACGTATAATAGAAAATGAGTGCATTCTATTAACGTAGGGATTTTGAAAAACACTTCTAATAAAAATCAAATCGAAATGAAACATTTTGTTTAATTTCTTCATGAAGTAAGGGGAGGTTCTTATTGTGACACGACTGAACAGCTATGTGTGTGAGAAAAAAAGTGGGCTAAGAAGAATTACGTCATAAATTGAACGCCTCAAATATACATCAACGAATTGCTGGAAGACAGAAAGAACAATGTAGGCCGAGTGTGTCAGAACTTTGAAGTTATGGATCATAACAGCGTGTCCTTCGGGAGGTGGCTCGGGGGTTAATTTCAGGACTTATAATAATTCGGTGTTTGATCCCCGGCAGGACATAGCAGAAACAGTTCGTTGTGCAGCCTAGGACCCAAACAAAAACGAAACAGAGCTCACAAGTGTTTACACTTTGTTGTTCATTTTGGATATTTGTTTAAACATGTTTGTTTCAGATATTTACTCAAAGCTACACAAAGGACTACCTGCACTGGCTGTTCCTAACTTTAAACTTATAGGCAATTAGTCAACAGGACTTTACTATTAATTCTAGTGGCTACTTTAATTGTATAGTGGGATTTGACAGTAACTCTTATAACATAAAGTACGGAGCTTGATTCACAGTCCGGCACGTATGCTAAGCAATAGGTCACGCTTGGCCTCGTTTGAACTTAAAAGGAAGGTTGCTTAAATGTTTTTTTAGATAAATTAGTAAGGAATAGCTGTAAAATATGAATTATATAAGAATTAAATAAATACATGCAATCTGTGTAAAATTTTATGAACGAAGGCAGTCAACATTGAGAATTCCCAGCAAGTTCTTTATGTCAAACAATATATATATATATATATAACGCGAATTAACATGATAAAATTGTACGATATATCAATAACCACTGGTGGGTCGTCATTTTGAAGGGCTTAAAAATTGGCGTAACTAAGGTTACAAATGTGTGTGCGTCTGCTGGGGTGGGGTGCTGTTTTTATAGCTAGGGTATGCATGAGGGTATTTTTATCAAAAAATAAAATCCTAAAAAAGTGCGGGGGATGTATTCCTCTCTTCTACGTGTGTAAATCACCCTATAACATTGTAATGACGTATGAACCGTGAACAACGTCGATCACCCCTTTTATTAGGCCTAAATCTTTATTATTAGTGTAACTTCTCTTTCGTTTTTTTTTTTTTTTTTTTTGACAAAACAAACTGCTTTAACCGCTAAGTATGAAAACTTTATCATCTAAACGTACCCTTCTTGTCACTTTGCTGGAGATTTAACATTAAATTTTTGTTCTATTAACCAAAATTTGAACAACATTTTCTTACGAGACTTCGCTGGTAACAAAAGTGTTATAATAATACTCAGTTTCTGTCTGTCCTTTCATTTCAACAGATGTAAACTTTAGCAAACATTTTGTATTACAACATATTAAAAGCTTAATCAGAGTTCTT